AATATTAACTTCTGGCTTCAACGCTTTGTTCGTCTTGTCTGGAGATCTTGCTGTAGTTCCAGTTCAGCAAGCATTTTAGAGACGTATCCCGTCCATCCTCTTTTGACTTGTAATCTCTGGTGATTGATTTTGCCGCTTGACATTGTATCCTTTCAAGCTTGTTTTTTTTTTGTTACCGTGTAGGGGTCCCATACTATGGCTCAATATTAAATTATAAGATCCATTCCTAAAAATCTAGATCATTGTTCTAATCTGACACAAATTTCAATAACTGGAATGCTACCCAAGTTGAATATATGGTGACCCATGAGAACAGCATTATCACTTAGACTATTGAAATTGTGTTTAATACCATGATTGTTCAATGTCATTAACTTAAATGGAGACAGACATTTGACCTGAAAGACATGAAAGGTGGTGTGGGAGTGCAAAATCAAAAACTAACTGACTATGATATATGGTTAAAGAATGAATATCAATTACATGGGTCAACATGGTCAAGGGCAGAGTTGTTATAAAATAACAATATGGCAGAGAAGTTGTTTCAAGTTTCATATAAAGCGACCTGACTGACATGAAATAAAAAAATTGAAGGAATATCCCTATTTGTCTACTTCAAGGTGAAATAAAACTAGTAAAACAATATTATACTATTGTCTAAATATACAGAAATATAATTTGCTTCAAGTAACAGAAATAACTAGGTCACTAGTAACTTATTTAATGAGTATGTGGGGTATAAGAGCTTGCTAACAACAGGCTCTTCATAATCATTTGGTTTGAAAAGGATACTAGTAGTCTATATTCTTGATTTAGAAAAATGTAATTGCAAGAAAAAAATCACATTACTTAGAATACTTTAGATCATTCAGGTAGTCTTTATGTATATGTACAAAAGAACAGCCAGTAGTCATTGGAAATTGTAGATCATTCAAATAGTCTTGACCTTTTTATTAGTTCAAAAGAACAGCCAGTAGTCATTGGATATTGTAGATAATTCCGGTAGTCTTGACCTATTCATTTGTACTGAAAAAAACAGACACATATACGAATATCAATTATACGCTTACGAGACATGTTGCAATGTTAAACTTATTACGGTATGTGAAAATCAAGACTTGCATAAAAAATATCACAATATTAGAGACAGTGGCGTCATTTTTCCTCAGAGCTTTCAGCTCTTTGATTGTCCATATATAAGAATTTTTTTTTACTCAGGTAATTTAATCAATGAATGATAGATTTCTCTTAGAAGAAATTTAAGGGTCCCAGAGAATAAACTACACAGAGAACAATAGCTATTGTATTTATTCAATAGGACAGGTGAACTTGCAAAAGTTGAAATACCTGGTCAAGATAGAGATGGCACTGTGGAAAACTTTCATTGGGTTCGCAATAATAAAAATTTTTTTTTTAAAATAAATTAATAATTAGTTTTTAAATCTCAATTGTCAATAGCCTTTTTTGAAAATTGAGTAGATTGTCTGAATTTGATTAATATATTCTCCTGTTAGGTGTGATTCCATAACATAAGGATGGAAAAATAGAAGAAGCAAAAAACATTAAGTAGACAGAAATTTTCTTTAGAATACTCTCAATTTTTTATAGTATTTCATATTTCTGTAGATTGACCTTTATTCATTAATTGTATAAGAAATATTCTGTCCAACCTGGCAAAACCAGTCCTTTGTCCATTCATACCTACCATCCTAAATTGATAAAAAAAAAATGAAATAATGTATTTTCAGTTGATGAAGATGGAAGCTAATATAATGAACTATGAAAGATTGATTATTCATGAATATATCACCACTGTACTTCATGCTTGGAAGTGTCAACAGGACAAGAACAAGAATTGTGACATCAACTACTGCAAAAAGATAAAAACCTTACTTACTCACATGAAGTCTTGTACAGACAGAAGATACTGCAAAAGTAATTATTTTTCAATTCAATGGAGGAATTTTCTAGGAATCAATGGAGAATGGAACAAAAATAGAACACCAAAAATTAACCATAAGTGTATTATACCATCATCTGAGAATTTTTTTAGGGGATAACCCAAAAAGGAGGGGGGTACATTGTTGCTCTGGATAAAGAATTGATAACAATTTTGGTTTCTAGATTACAAAATTTTTATACTCACTCAATTTTTGGGAATTCAAAAAGTCCTTGATTTAATTTTTATTGCTAATTTTTCCTCATACATTATTGTTTGCATATGTATTTTATTTGTCGTCCATTCACAATGTTTTATCATAGCAGTGACCCTGAGAATAACTTTATTGGTCACTACACACCAAAGGAATATTACACAAATTAACAATCAAAGTTAATGATTTCTTTGTCCCTCAAAGCTTACAATTTTGCACCCTTGAAATACAAGAAAGACCATACATGATGCCCCGTTTAGCTTTCAATGAATGTGCAGTTTGGGAAGCATCTCTTGGCAGTGCCAGTTTTTTGTTTGTTTAGAATGGTTTTCATCAATAAGATGGCAATCCAACAGAGTAACAAGACATTCTGAATCTCTTACCTAATATTAAGAAAAATAATTTTTTGCGTGTGTCGTAACTACCGCTAATTGCCAAACATTTTTTTGATATGTAATCATTCAACTGTTAAAAGCATTGTACAAGGCCATGACATATGGATAATGAACTCATCAAGGAATTAGCTGTCCCACCGAAGCCCAAAAAAACCCAAAACCAGACACTAGCTACTGTATGTAAACTCTCCTGTTGTCAGTGGTTAAGATGTTATTGTCATACTCTAATGATCCTGTCGATTTCAATCATTTCTTTTTACTTTCTTACAGATAAGGATTGTTTTCCAAGTAAGCTCTTGTTGGAACACTGGAACAGCTGCATTAACACAGATTGTGGCTTGTGTCGTCCTTTAAAAGAAAGTATTAAAAAAAGGAATGAAAGATCTGGTCATAAGAGTTGTGAAACCTGTGAATTGGTCAAAGGGCTGCACTGTCACAACTTATGTAGAGAAACCGGATGTGTAGTATGCACTGCAATGAAAACTGCTGCTTTATCAAAGGACCAGAATTATAATGATCATTTCATTAAATGTGTGTTGGAAAAGCAATGTTCATCAGAAGATTGTGGCTACTGTACTCATTTTGAGAATTTGGTTCAAGAAAATTCAGACACAAAACATCTGTGTGATAATCCAGGAACTTGTCGCCTATGTTCAATCAGATTCAGTGATCATTTTTTCTTTAAAACTTCTATCAGTAAGTTATCAACTTATTAATGTATGATACTGTGTTTTATCTTGATTTTTAGCTCACCTGGCCCTATGGGCCAAGTGAGCTTTTCTCATCACTTGGCATTCGTTGTCTGTCGTTGTCATCCGTTAACTTTTACAAAAATCTTCTCCTCTGAAATTACTGGGTCAAATATAACCAAACTTGGCCACAATCATCATTAGGGTATCTAGTTTAAAAAATGTGTCCGATGATCTGGCCCACCAACCAAGATGGCCGCCATGGCTAAAAATAGAACATAGGGGTAAAATGTAGATTTTGGCTTATATCTCTGAAACCAAAGCATTAAGAGCAAATCTGATATGGGAGTAAAATTGTTCATCAGGTCAAGATCTATCTGCCCTGAAATTTTCAGACAAAGCAGACAACCCGTAGTTGGGTTGCTGCCCCTGAATTGGTAATTTTATGGAAATTTTGCAGTTTTTGGTTATTATCTTGAATACTATTATAGATAGAGATAAATTGTAAACAGCAATAATGTTCAGCAAAGTAAGATCTACAAATAAGTCAACATGACCAAAATGGTCAATTGACTCCTTGAGGAGTAATTGCCCTTTATAGTCAATTTATGAAAATTGACAAATTTTACTATTTTTTTTTTATTTTTGCCTATTATCATGAAAACTATGATATTTAGAGAGAAACATTTTTTTCGTTATGCCTTATATGATTTAACTTAAAATAGATAAATAAACACTTTAAATCACAAAAATGATCAGCAAGGCAAGATCTATTAAAAAGTCAAATTTTGCCAATATAGTTAGTAGACTGTCACTCTTCATTTTTTTTTACCCTCTTTTGTGTTTTGAGCAAAAACTAAAGAAGATAGAGAGAAACTAAACAGACTAAAAGATTAGTAATACAAGATCAACAAAATAGAGTCTATTCTCGTCTACTATGTTGGAGAGTGTCCTTTGATTGATATGCACATTGACCAAGGTGAGCGACACAGGCTCTTTAGAGCCCCTAGTTAAGTTTTATCCTTATATAAATAATGTTTACAATTTTAAATTTTTTTTTCTCTTGATGACTTTGATTTGTGTTATATTTCATTCAGTAAACCACCAAAATATATTAAATAATTTTATATCACTAACGGAGGGATGGGTGACTAAAAAGACATGAAATTGATCCCATCTAGTAAGACCTTTGTATGAAACCAGTCTAGCTGATGAGACTTAGTATTAGAATATTTTAGATGACACCAGTTGATCATTTCTTGCCAGAATGATTTCTTCATGATACTGGCTTAGTATGGTATTTTCTCTCTAAGTATTCTGAAAACAAAATTGAATTAATTTAGAGCCTATAGAAATTTGAGTTGTAACAAAACAGGAAAGATATTTTTGGTACAGTTTGCGATATAAAGGGAAAGATTCAATTGATAAAGAAGGTTGGTGGTTCTCTCTGGGCACTCAGGGCTTCCTCCACCAATAAAAACTGACTGCCACAAAATATCACAATAGTGCTGGAAGTGGCGTAAAACACCAATCAATCAATCAACCAATCAATTCATAACAGGTTAAGTATTTCCACCATAATGATTTTTTTTTTTTTTTTTTAATGATGATTATAAAATTCTCTTTTTCAGTAATGCCTGCATTTAAAAATGCAGATTTCTCAACACACAGAAAGATTTTCAGGTGATACATGTTGCTATTACTATTGTAGTGCTTAGTTTTGGTTTGATTTTTTTTTTTGTGCATTTGCATTTTAGCTACAGAGAGGATTACAAAGTTCATGCTTCATTATGATGATACATTCAATGCAGCATATACAGTTCTTGGACTTGAAGGGATTGGATCTGATATCCATTCTGAGTATGAAGGTAACAAAGTAATTATAATATAGTGACCACACTCATAATGTCAATGCAAATTTGCCAACTATGACATTAAAAAATGTCATTAGTAGGTCGCTTTGACCAATTTTATATACAATTATGGCCCATTGAAAAGGTGAATATCCAAAATTGTCAACACGAGAAGGTTATTTCACTGAGGGCACAGCCCGAAGTGAAATCTTTTAAGGGTTGACAATTTTGGATATTCATCGCTTCTAAGGGGCCACAATTGTTTTATTATACCGAACTAACAGTGGAAGGGCATTTTGAATCATTGTAAAAGCACTTACCCTTACTTGAGTCAGTAACAAACACAAGTTGACGTTCAAAAATACATGTAATTTGTGCCTTAGAATTCTCGTATGTACAACAAAGGTAGATTCTTTTTGTAAAATATTGATGGCCCTGAAAAGGACTGTTATTAGAGATATCATCGGCACAAGATGCACGTCAAAAGCCTTATTTCCTCTTCTCTCGATCAATGGGCTTCCTGTAACTTGAACGTTGCCATTTTGTTTATTTACGTCTGTGACGTCATTTTCATGAGTACAAATCAACAAACTAAAAAGGTTATTCACCGGTGAATAATAGGGTTATTCAACGCTGGTGTAAATTTTTAGGGTTATTCGTTCTTCCTTGCAATTGAATGAAAATTAACTGAATTATTCCATGTCACATGATAACGTTTTACCCAATAGAATTGTTCGAAATATATGTAAGGTATAATAATATGATTTATTGTATCCCTACTGAAACGGAAGTTTAACTGCCTTCCATTATATGACATTTTTTGTCACATTTTTTTTAAGGAACTACTAAGCAGAGCTTCCTGAAATTTGGTATCAAGCTTCGAGTAAGCATGCTATACCTTGTGTTGCAAAAAAATAATAGAATTAAGTAAAACATTTTGGTTTTTTTAGCTTTTAATCAAAGGAATTTATTTTTTAAAGACACTTATTCAACAACAATTATGAACAGTTTGGTTATAGACTTTGTCAGTAATCAAGGAAAAAAAATTTAATATCATTAATAAGCATGATTTTAAAAAGCCGTTAATATTAAATGTCCAAATTATTACTTCTTACAAGTAAAAATTTAGTTGCTTTCTATTGGACAATATATCAGTGCATTTAATTTTTTTTTTTTGAAAATAAGTTCAAGTTTCATGATGTTATATTTGTTTATTTACATATAGGCATACACAGATTGTATAACAGATATGTACATAAATATATATCAATATAAACAATGTGTTAATATTGATATTAATTTTTTTTTTACAAAAGATCTCAATAAAAGCATTGCAACTTCAACAAGAGTAGCAAATGGTAATGGGAAGAAGAGAATAGTTCAAGGAAAAGGTTGGAAAGAGAAAACATCTTTGGACTTCAGAAATCACCTAGTCAATAAATTGTAAGACCTATATACAATTTGCTGATTCAGAATCTAAAGCATTCTGGGTAATATTTTTTAATTTATGCAACAAACAATGCGTTGGTTCACTTGTGTTTAAATTCTTATTTTATTTTTTTTTGTACTTGCAATAAATTACCAACAATCTTTCAGATTCCAGGGGCAGATCCAGGGATTAAGGAAAGGGGAGGGCATAAGTGTCTGTACTGTTAGAAATAGTGCTGTACATAGCAAGTTAAATTTTTTTTTACCAGTCTTGGCATAAGGCCTGCTTAACCCCACCTGAATTGGCCACAGGATTCTGAAGCAGCAAATTACTGTTATAAAGTGTTTGATTGATTAAATATTGTTTTTTTGTTTTATATCCTGTGTCAAAAATTTCATGCAACTTCAGGGTGAGAACAAGTTAACAAATACAATAGGTAGGTTCTGTAATAGGGGTTGATCAGGACAAAGGGCAATAAGTTTTGAACTGGAAAACAGTGGTATGTCGGAAAGTGACAGAAATTTAACATTGCAACAGACCACCTATGGACCACTCAAAGAGTTGTTACATGGGTTCTGTAACATAGAGAGTGTGGCATTCTCTCCACATGAGGCATTGGATTTAACACCATTCTGACTGGACGTGGCTGTGAATTTATATATCTTGCACAGCTAGGTAAACTCCTCACTTTAAATGAATCACTTATGAAATAATATTGTTGTCATGTATTGTAACAGACCAATAATATTTTGCATTGGGTGTTATATTTGCTGTCTTTTCCTCTATCATCACTTTCTTGACGCCTACTTTTCTTTGCATACTCCTTTCTAATCAGAATGAGTGTTGGTTTTTTCCTTACACAATTTTTATATGAGTATTATTTTGAAGAAAAAAACATTTCAGTGGGATAGGAACTTTTACAATTTCAATTTTTTTCTTTTTCATGTTGCCTTAATAATGTATCAATCACTTGCCAGATTCATATCGAAGGAAGAAATGTGTTAAGGGCATATATGGCATAGAAAAATTGAAGTATTTGTATGGTGATGTGACAGAAGGTTTTTATTATTCATTAAACAAGGGTGATTTTCCAGTTTTCAGACAATAACACAAAAATGCTTTGAGCAGTTTTCCTGAAACTTTGGTGACTGGTTTTTATATCTGTTAAATTAACCTCCCTTTAGTTTTTTATAAATTTCTGATGAGATTGAGGAGTTATGGAACTTTATGCTTTGAAAAAGTGATAGGCGTATCATGCGCTCATGGTGCAGCTTTTTTTTTATTTTATCAAAATCCTGTTCTTGGTTCTGTCCCAGCACAGGGCCACATCTGTTTTTTGTCTCGCCTTGACGGAGTCAGAAAGCGAGACAGGTATGCTGTTTCCGGCGTCGGCATCAACAATGTATTAGTTTGTGATTAGGTCTAGTTTAAGGTGGTTGGTCAATGATATTTGGTATGCAGTTGTATAAGTATTGGCACATCTCATTTCCATGGAGATTATTTGTCCATGCACCCTCAGTCATGGTCTATTGACTTTGAAACTTTTGCTTAGTTTACATGTTTTAGTTTGTGATTCGGTCAGTTCAAGGGGAACCATTAGTGGTAGGTCAATGTTAATTTGTATGCAATTGTATAAGCATTAGCACATCTCATTTCCATGGAGAATATTTGGTCCTGCCCCCTCAGTCATGGTCTATTGACTTTGAAACTTTTGCTTAGTTTACATGTATTAGTTTGTGATTAGATCAGTTTAAGATGAACCGCTAATGTTAAGTCAATGATATTTGGTATGCAAATTTATTGGCATTTGCAAGTCTCGTTTCCATGGAGATTATATAACCTCACCCCTCATCATGGTTCATTGACTTGGAAACTTTTAAATGTTTACAAGTCAATGTTTGTGTTTAGGTTTGTTGAAAAGGAATGACTTATGATAAGTCTATGGTATTTGGTATGCAGTTGTATTAGCATTGGCACATCTTATTTCCATGGAGATTGTTCTGCCATGTACCTTCAGTCATGGTTCATTGACTTTGAATATTTGCATGACTTACATGTTAAAGTATTGCGATTTTAATTTCAACATTTGCATTATCAAAAGTACAAAAAGGCAAGACATATCTCTGTGTTAACAGTTTATGTTTGATTTTGGGGGTATCTAAACTTGCTACAAAGTAAGGTTCTTTTATTTTAGTAATCAGTAAATGTAAAGCAAAATAATTTTGATCAACAAAATTACTAGTCACATTTCTACAGTTTAATTGTGTTCATAACGGCTTTTATTGGCTATTCCCACTGAATCTAAAATACTTTTCATGATATATTATATTGCAGATTTGTGTATAGTTGGCAGTGTATAGTCATTCCATTTACCTTGACCATAATAAATGTAGAAAAGGAATTTTACTATTGACTAGTTCAAAACCCTCTTTTTCAGTTGAACTATATTTAAATGAAATTTCTTGTTAATTTACAGTGTTGAAGCACTGCTGCCAAAGACTAATGAAAATAGAACAAAATTCATGACAGTTGTGGCTTTTAGCACGAGAATGGAACAGCAATTGTTTGACAAAGCTGACACTAAGGTATGATATATGGGCAAAATTTTTTAATGAGCATAAATGAACAGAATATTTATGATATGTTAATTGGGAAGTTCTGTATTAACAACTGATATACTGGCTCCTGACTTGGGAAATATTATTCTGAGGGCTTAAAACTCCCATAACCTATGACTGTGGTGTAACAGCACAACATAAGAACAAACTGTAAACATTAGTTTGAAATAACATACCTCAACAGTTTGGTAAGAAGCACAAAAAACTACTAACATAAAACAAAAAACACAGCACTGATCTAAAAATACTGGCAGTTACTGAATGTTAATTCAAAGCCAATTACAAAGAATGAATAAATTATTTTCTCCCAGGATGCAGTATTGATCAGTACACATTCAAAGGATTTAGTATAAAGACTGTCATATAAAAAAGTCTTGAGAAAAGCAAAATATTGTGCAATGCCAAAATATAAGTTAAAGTGTAAACAGGATGAAGGACCATAATGTTTCATATCTATTAAGCAATACATGATTGAGTAAATTTTAATTTATCAAAACTAAAGCATTATTGGTTCAGATAAAAACAGTTTTTAAAAATCTTACTATGGTGAGAAATTGATAATGTTTACGAATAAGTTTGTTCAAATGAAACAATAAGTTTGCATGGAAAGTGTCTAGATTTATGGGCACTATAAATATCACAGCTGAATTTTTACAGTGATGATATTTATAGTGCCCATAAATCTAGACACTTTCCATGCAAACTTATTGTTTCATTTGAACAAACTTATTTTGAAATCGTTTGGCTTTGTCATCTGTCGTCTTGAATGCATACTGATGTACTGACTATCAGACTATCAGACAATGGAAAGCTTTTCCAGTAAATTTTTATATTAACTCAAAACATATAATTATAATCACTATTATTCATCGGCTTTGGATGTTTTGCAAAGTTTACATGTTAAAGCTTGTGATAAGGTCAGTTTATGGGGAACCACTTATGATACGTCAAATACATTTTGTATGCAGTTTTATTAGCATTGGCATATATCATTTCCAGAGATTACTTTGACCTGACCTTCAGTCATGGTTGATTGACTATGGATGTTTAGCATAATTTATATGTTAAAGTAAGGATAACTAGTGTTGTCTCGAACTTGGTTGACTTGAAATTTCTGATTAGTCAAAGTTTTCTCTTGGTCCCGAACTTTGTTCAATATAAATATATGTATTTCGACTCCTGATGAGTCGAAATTTCGGTTGAGTGGAACTAAATTTACGGTCCCAAGGTTAATTTATTATATATCTCAAACTAATACACATGTCAAAACATGACCTCCGGGATTGAAGAGTTAATCTGACAATACATGTGTAAATAAATTTCCGGTCAATGACCACTGTATTGATTTATGACATGATAATTAATTATGAAAAATTATTTAAAATGTTTACAAAAACAATTAATCGCGATTCACACTAATGAGCTTGGATGCGTATAAAGTGGGGATTAGACTTCCGTTGGTGATCACCTAAAACTACTCAATCCGCTTCTTTAATCTTTTTGTATTTTCTATTGAAAAGAAAGATTGAGATAAAAGAAAATGAAAAGAAATCCAAATTTTCTAAAATCTCTTGTATCCGAGAAAAAACAATTTTGTCAACTTTAAATGACTTAAATACAGCGAAGATGGATAGGAAATTACTGTTTCGGATAAAAGCCACATGGAAAAATTCTAACTGTTCAAAAACATAATTAAATATTAAGTAAAAACAATGTTATTATAATAATTAAAGACCATAAAATACAAATACATCGATCTGAGACCAGAATATTGATCCCCTTCCCATATTCATCTGGATTTATTTTAGCATTACCAAGCTAAACAAGAGTTGTGTCCCTTGGTCTGTCAAATTTCCGGTTTTCGTTTGAGTCGAACTACGGGTATCTTGAAACTATTCTCTGGTCCGACTGACTTCGAGATAATGAGAGTCGACTGTATTGCCATCTTTCATATCAACATTGCATTTTACTATCAAAATTATATACAGGCCAGTTATCAGTTTATTTTAAGAGATGCCCCTTTCAAGATAGAAATGTTGGTTCTATTAAGCACAGACCTTGTCATTGCAACTCTTCCTTCATTTGTAATTATATCTTGGTATAAAACTTGTTATGATATTAGATCTTAATATACAATACAGAAGAACATATGGGTAGGCTGCTCTAATCCATTGGGTTTTCCCATAAACATTTCTCTGGGCTAATAAGATTTTGTCCCAGTCTAGCACATATTATTAGTTACATAGTGTGCTAGTGACCTAATACAATATAAATGGGGTCAGTAAATTCCATATGGGGTGAGAGGGAAGCTGGATATATATTGTATTAGGTCACTAGCACACTGTGTAACGAATTTATCTTACGTACTATCTTAACCTGTGGTATTTAGACTAGTGGCCTATCAAAGTGATTAAGTGTTCAATACTTAGTATTAAGAACCTGCTTCCATTTGTCTATACAAAAACAAATGCCAGCAATAACAACTTGTTAGCTTTAAATGTGTTTTATGAATTTATTTCAATCGTTCATCATCAATATCTTCGTCTAGAAACCTTTCAGATATTTCCTCAACACCGTGTTGTTTTTATAAAGGGATGTGACACCACTACTAACCATGTATTGAAATAAGCCCCACCTACTAACCTAATATGAGATATAAACGGTCTCCACATGGTTGCTTTTAACCAATCATATTCCTAGAAATGTATAGGAGGTAAGATAACAGTATATACCTTGTTATCTCAAGTCCACCTTTATGCTTTAGCATATATACATAAAATTTAGTACATTCATAGATCCAATTATACAGATGTGCATGTTAATAAGATAGTTTAGTTTTTCCAGTGTAATGTCCCATTGAACTAGAAATAATTTGGCCCTGTCCAGCTTCTTTGTAATCACAACTCCTCAAAGATAGTTCATTAAGCTTATTTATATTGTTTGATCTGGATATGAAAATATGCAAGTTATTGTATATCAGATGTACACATCTGAGAACACTTCAAATAAAACAATAGTAAATAGTTCAAACTTGTATTATCAACTTCATTAATACCCTAGCCACTAGCAAGCTCAAACATCAATCCAGGATGTGGCAGGTATGAGTCCAGCTTAGTGAACAGTTCTAGAATGATTGTTTTGAAATTAATCAGATTTAGAGGGAGTAATGGTATATTTTAGAAAATATGAATTATAAAAAAATATTTTAACCAAATGATTTAAGCTTCTTGGAGCAATTTAAAATATGATGCAAAATACAGGAGATTTATTACAATGATTACATGATTTCCATGAATCTCTTGATAAAGGGCACCTGTTCATAAATGATAATGCTGTGTCTTTCCCTGACAGTCTTCTGCAAGTAGATTTGAATACATACACTTAGACATTTCAATTGATGAAATATTTTATTAAAATGTTTTGGAATTTACATTAATAATATATTACAGGAAGAATATTTTCATTTGCTTGTGGACAAAATGTATAGAATCAAGAGACAAGCTGCAGTGAAAAGAAGAGAGCAAGACCAGAAAACTGGAACACAAATTGCTGATTTACAGATAGAGGGTAAAGTTTGAAACTTTTATTATACAACAGTCCCTAGTCTCTTAGATGATGGGTATATATGTCACATTTGGCTTTCCCATGATAATTATAGGACAGCTTGGCAAATCTTTTTGAAATCTAAAAACAATGTTATTGACCATACTGTCCATAGAATTACAAGATAATTCCTTTTTTGGTGTTTTAGATATTTCCTGGCGAGAGGGTTATGCGCCTGAGTTACATTAAAAGTTTGTTTAATTTTCCTTTACAAGGTGAAAATGATATATTACCAATTGACTAAATCTTTTAAATATGAACACAATGTCATGGACCATGAAAAACATCTTTTTTTGATCTTGATAGTTTTGACATTTACCGTTCGAGAATTATTCCCCTAAATCATCTTGGTTTTCTTTTCAAAATGAGCACAAGTTTTGATTTTCACCCAAATTCTATGATAAAAAGCCAATTAACATATGTTTAAAGAACCGAAACATTTAACACATGCATACCTGCCAACCCTCCTGTCATAGCTGAGGGGGGAGATCTCCCTCTTTGAAGGTTTCAGAGGTTGGCAGGTATGACACATGTGTCAATAAAAAAGATCTTCTAACATTATTTTTTTTTATGACAAATGCCCTATTCAGATATGAATATTTAACTTGTTGAACCCTGAATCTATGTTTCTTATTCCTAAATATAGTTGAAATCTAGCAGATTTTGTCATCTTTCAACAAAATATTTGGGGATTAAAGACTCTACAAAAATCGTTCTATTGAACTTTCTCATGTGTGTATGAATTAACTGAACCACTTTTAATCTTAAAATAATAGCGTAGGGTATAATGTTTTTGACCCGTCCGTCCGTCAGTCAGTCCTGTTTCTTGTCATCGTAACTCCTCTCAAACCACACAACAGAATTTCACGAAACCTATTTAGATAATAAGGACATACTATGTAGTTGTGCATATCGACAGGAAATTACAATTCAATTTTTTTTCTAGGAGTTACGCCCCTTTGAACTTATTTACTTTAATGTACTACTGCAACAGTTTGTCATCTCAACTCCTCTGAAACCACACAACAAAATTTCATGAAACTTTGTAGATAATAAGGACATACTATGTAGTTGTGCATATCGACAGGAAATTAGGATTCAAATTTTTTTCTAGGAGTTACGCCCCTTTGAACTTATTTATTTTAATATACTACTGCAACAGTTTGTCATCTCAACTCCTCTGAAACCACACAACAAAATTTCATGAAACTTTGTAGATAATAAGGACATACTATGTAGTTATGCATATCGACAGGAAATTACGATTCAATTTTTTTTCCAGGAGTTACGCCCCTTTGAACTTATTTGCCCAATATACTACTGCAACCTTTTGTCATCTCAACTCCTCTCTAACCACACAACAGAATTTCATGAAACCTTTTCAGATAATAAGGACATACTACGTAGATGTGCATATCGACAGGAAATTACGATTCAATTTTTTTTCTAGGAGTTACGCCCCTTTGAACTTATTTGCTTCAATATACCTCTGCAACAGTTTGTCATCGCAACTCCTCTGAAACCACACAACAGAATTTCATGAAATTTTGTAGATAATAAGGACATACTATGTAGATGTGCATATCGACAGGAAATTATGATTCAATTTTTTTTTTAGGAGTTACGCCCCTTTGAACTTATTTGCTTCAATATACCTCTGCAACAGTTTGTCATCGCAACTCCTCTGAAACCACACAACAGAATTTCATGAAACTTTGTAGATAATAAGGACATACTATGTAGATGTGCATATCGACAGGAAATTATGATTCAATTTTCTTCTTATACAATTTTTTTTTCTTACAGTTATTTCATTTCTCCAGTGACAATGTGGGGACGTGGGGTATGTGAGCTAGCTCACTAAGGTTCTTTAATTTTTAATTCTATAAAATAGATATAAATCTAGTACTTTTATTTCACTGTAGATAAAGAAGATGATGACAGCGAACCAGCAGCAAAGAGACCCAGGTTATCAGATACTCAGGCAAATGAGGAAATGCTGTCAAAGGTATAGAATTAAGTTTCAACATATACCATTTTAGGGTAAATTTGAAAGCATTTCAAGAAACTATCTTCACAAGCCAATTACAATATTTTCATGTAAATGTTAAGTGAAAAAAAATTATTGTGAAATTAGCTGCACCTCTGCCTGGCAATTTGAATTTGGAATAAAAACCTATGTACTTTACACATTCTATTCCACATGATTCTATACATTACACACACAGAAGTTATTATGACTCTCAATCAATAATTTGAATTGCTAATGAATACTTAATTGACTGCAAGAAAATGAATTTCAAAGTACTTGTTTTATCCCTTTTATGAAAATATATAATTCAAAAACTTTGTAACAAAGTATATGCATCATGTTGAGATTTGAGAATTACTATTGTGTTATTGTAGATCTTGATGTTTCAGCATTTTGGGGTATTGTTTTATTAATATGAAAATAAGATGTGGTATGATTGCAAATAAGACAACTCTCCACCAGAGACATATTGACATAGAAGTTAACATCTATAGGTTACCAAATGAACTTCAACAATGAGCAAAACACATACCACATAGTCAGCTATAAAAGGCCCTGAATTTAAGCCTTTTCCAAATTGAAATAGAGGGAAGATTAATGCATTATCGTTTGAAAGATTGAAATGTTTAATTGTAAACAAACTATCATTACAGGAACAGCTTATGTACTGTTTGCTTTATGTGTCTGTCAGAGTTCTTGACCGTATAGAAACATGGACGATTGTTTATCAATCCATTATCTTAAATGGTGCTTTCCGAGCCTATGAACTGGCCAATGTTTCTGGCTTGAACCTTGGAGATAGTTGGAATTCCCTTAAATACCAGCTGACAACAAGATGCTTGCCAAAAGTTGAAGAGGTGCCAATTTTTAGGGCAGTGGCCAACATGAATGCAAACTTACTTTTGAAGACCTCCTGTATACCACTGAGTCTTGCAGCATTCCTTGTGACTAGTGGAGATTTACCATCAAGAACCCAAGCTGACCTTTGCCTCAAGGCCTTGACCGATTCCCATATTCCTTTATCAGGATCCACATTCATAAAGTTTAGCAGTAAGTTAGAAGAAATCATAGACATTTTGGTTAATTGATATAAGTACACTGACTTTATCAAAGTTATATATCAAGAAGGTTTATAATTGATCATCAACAAACTATAGAGCATTGCAATACATTAGGAGTAACTGTTAAGTAGCAGAAAAATTATGGCTAAATCTTTTTTTTCAATTCTTTTCAGTAAGAGTTTAAAATGAAAAAAATAATGAAAACTGGTTCCTAATGGCAGAGTCTTGGATGAAATTTTTTGGAAAATTAAAACACCAATTATGTCTTACACAAAAAATGTGCAACTTTGTCCCTTTCTGACCTGCTACAGGAAAACTGTTGATTTTAGTAAATTTAGATCTAAGTCGAACCCATCTTCCTGCAACAGGATTTGGTCTCAAAACCTCAGTGTTGACAGATTAGTTATGACTGGATATGATATACTTAGACCTCTCAACCACTGATTCTCATAATGTGCTTAAAGGCAGAAAGAATTGTTCCATTACAAATACAATGAAAGTAAGGTAGGAAGGAAATTTTTATTTTTGGACGTTGGTCGTGGTGATTTAGGCAAAGGTTTTTACTTTTGGACATTGGTTGTAGGTGATTCAGGCAAGGGTTTTTACTTTTGGACATTGGTCGTGGTGATTTAGGCAAAGGTTTTTACTTTAGGACATTGGTTGTAGGTGATTTAGGCAAAGGTTTTTACTTTAGGACATTGGTTGTAGGTGATTTAGGCAAAGGTTTTTGCTTTTGGACATTGGTCGTGGTGATTAGGCAAGGGCTTTTACTTTAGACATTGGTTGTAGGTGATTTAGGCAAGGGTTTTTACTTTTGGACATTGGTTATAAGTGATTTAGGCAAATGGCATCGACCTCAAACCGGAAGTTGGACAGACTATCTTACTAAAGGATGTGTGTTCTACTCCTAGATAATGTAGTACTAGTGTTTGAATACTAATTATAAGAAGATGCTTTTGAAATTTTGAGTTACTTCTATTTTGTTAAGCTTACAGCTTGAATAAAAATGGACTGAATGTTCACCGACAAATTCAAATTAATCCAACTTCATTTTGAAAATGGGTATCACAAACACTACTTTGCGGATCTGACCTGCGGAAGATAAAATCAGTAACATCAACACGAGGCAGCAGTTTCTACGTTTAATTCATTGAAAATTAAGAGGGCCTGATTTATTCTGAGGTGTGGGTTTTTTTTTTACATTTATTCATGAAATTAAAGAATTCTTATTGTTAAGAATATGGTAATCTTTTCAATTTTTACATTTGTAAATGGTATTAGGTGTGACCTCTATAAATTATTCATATTTTGAACTGTCAGCCATTTTGTATGTTTATGTTACCTGTATGTTTTCCTACGGGATTCCTCAGACATGCGTTTAATCCATATATGTGAACCTCCCGACAGGAGTACAATAATCCCGGTGTCAGGGGTCTCCTCCCGTCCTCCGATTGAAGAGAAAATGAATACTGTGTACCATGAATGAACATTTTCCGGTGCCATTTACGATATTTACAAATGTTTATTAAAGACGTTAAAGCCCAAGTGTATCGAAAGTATCCTCATATCTCGGCCCATAACAAACTCGGCCTATAACATAATCGGATTCATAAAATCAGACTATAATTACTATATATATATACACCCTGTGGGATTTTATTTTTTTAAATTTTCAAATGACTATAACTTGAAAACAGTAAGTGATAGACACACACGGTCTTCAGTAATGATCACAAAACAATAAAACAAATCAAATCAAATAAGGGTTAGTCCCTGGGGTTCACCCCCACTCCCCTTTAATTTGAGAATGTGCTTTTATCTTGTAAACGGTTGAGATCTCCACCCTTAAATCATATATATTCTTGTATTGGACAATAAAACAAATCAAATGAAATATTGGGGGAGTCACTGGGGTCACCCCCACCCCCTTCTGTTTGAGAACTTGTAAACAGTCGAGGTCCCCACCCCTAAACCATATATATTTTTGTATGGGACAATAAAACAAATCAAATGAAATATAGGGAAAGTCCCTGGGGGTCACCCCAACCCCCTTTCTTTTTGAAAACTTGTAAACAGTCGAGATCCCCACCCCAAAACCATATATATTCTTAATTCCACTATATTCAAATAAGGCCTTTGAAAATAGTGGAATTAACTACTTTTGGAGTGTCAAAAACTCGTTGGAAGTACTTGATAAATTGCATGCATATATTGGTGATTTTGAATCTGTTCAAAGTTTTGATTTTTCTACCCTATATACCACTTTGCCTCATATTCTTATTAAGAAAAAATTAACACACCTAATTAAAGGGCATTTAAAAAGTCGGAATACGAATACATATGTTCAAACTCTTTTAGGTCATTTTTTAGTAGCAACAAACAAAAGAGCTATGTCAATTGGACATGCTTTGATACTATATCTGCCCTTGAATTTTTACTTGATAACATTTTTGTTCGCTTTGGAGATTCCGTATATTGTCAAGTTATCGGAATTCCAATGGGGACTAACTGTGCACCACTTATTGCGGACCTGTTTTTGTATTGTTATGAGTTACAATTTATGACTAAAATCAGCAAAGACCCATCGAAACAACATGATACAAAAATTTAACAATACTTTTAGATATTTGGATGATATATTGGCTCTCAATAATGACGACTTCAGTATGTATACTAAAGAAATTTATCCTGTTGAACTTACTTTAAATAAAGCTAATACTAACAATGACCACTGTCCTTTCCTCGATCTTGATATCTATATCATTAACTGGAAGCTTAATACAAAAATTTATGATAAAAGAGATGATTTTTCATTTCCTATCGTTAATTATCCATTTTTAGATGGTGACGTTCCCTTGTCACCATCTTATGGTGTTTATATATCTCAACTTGTACGATTCGCTCGTGTATGTAACAACGTATTAGATTTTAGCGAGAGAAATTTATGTATTACTGAAAAATTATTACACCAGGGTTTTCGATATCATAAACTAGTCAAAACATTTATTAAATTTTATCATCGGTATAAGGACATCATTCGTAAATATAACTCAACATGCAGACATCTTATACGTTCGGGTATTTCACATCCAATCTTTTATGGTAATATTCTTTACAAAGCACAAAAATGTCAGTATTCACCTCAAAAGCTAACAAAACCTTTAAACAGACTTATTAAGAAGGATATAGTTACGATACTGTTGTCAGGTCATTAAAGATTGCATATTTTGGCTTTAATATTGATTCACTTATAGGGTCTTTGCATCGGAATTAAACATATTTATTCTAAAACCAGTTGTTGGCATGACACGGGTTATGTTCTTCTCATATATTTTATGATGGTATAATACTAAACTCCTAACAGGAGGGATTGTGCCTGATATTCATATGATGAAGACATAATCTTTCAATCAGTTTAATTGAGGTCTGGAGCTGGCATGTCAGTAACTGCTAGTAGTCTGTTGTTATTTATGTATTATTGTCATTTTGTTTATTTTCTTGTGTTTCCTATTCTGACATCGGACTCAGACTTCTCTTAAACTGAGTTTACTGTGCGTACTGTTGTACGTTTGTTTTTTCTACATTGGCTAGAGGTATAGGGGAGGGTTGAGATCTCAAAAAACATGTTTAACCCCGCCACATTTTTGCGCCTGTCCCAAGTCAGGAGCCTCTGGCCTTTGTTAGTCTTGTATCATTTTTAATTTTAGTTTCTTGTGTATAACTTGGAGTTTAGTATGACGTCCATTATCACTGAACTAGTATACATATTTGTTTTGGGGCCAGCTGAAGGACGCCTCCGGGTGCAGGAGTTTCTCGCTGCATTGAAGACCCATTGGTGGCCTTCGGCTGTTGTCTGCTCTATTGTCGGGTTGTTGTCTCTTTGACACATTCCCCATTTCCATTCTCAATTTTATTGTATGGGACAATAAAACAAATCAAACGAAATAAAAGTCGAGTCCCCTGGGGTCACTCCCAACCCCTCCTGTTTGAGAACTTGTAAACGGTCGAGATCCCCACCCCTAAACCATATATATTCTTGTATGGGACAAAAAAAAAACCAAATCAAATGAAATAAAGGGCGAGTCCCCTGGGGATCACACACCCTCTTTTTTTGAGAACTTGTAAACGGTCGAGATCCCCACCCCTAAACCATATATATTCCTGTTTGTCATTTCAAGAAGATTTGAATGACATACAGGGTCAATCCCTAGGCGTCACTTTTGCAAATCACTTTACTAGACCAAACCAAATTGTACTGGACTTTGCCCAATGTTAGGCGACCATGGGAATGACGAATTATGGGAGACTTTATAACCGCATCCTGTAACAGTTATTTCTTGTTAACAATGTGTCAACTCAACACAGAGGCAAAGATAATATCAAATGAATGGCTGAAAACCAAAAATCTCAAATTGTCATTGCCTCAATGCTGAATTTCACAGCAGCAACTAAAATGTATTACATGGTTATAAAATAAAGTACCTCTACGAATCTAGTGTATATTAACTTTTTATTCCTGTCTACATATTGCCATTGTTGATTGAAGCCTTTCATATAAATTGACTTTCATTACAGTTGTATTGATTTAAGTCTTATTTAAATTAAGAGATGTGGTAATTTTTGCAAATGAACCAGCTATTCAAAAGAGTTCAAAGGAGAAAGATTTACAAACAATTATAGGTCACCATACAGTCGTCAACAATGAGAAAAACTCATACCATATAGTAAGCTATAAAAGGCCCTGATATAAAAAATGTGGAATAATTCAAACAAGAAAACTAACTGCTTAATTAGTAATAATACAATTTACTAAAAACAAATATGAAGGACCTTAGTAAAAAAAAAATACTAAAATCACAGGCCCTTTACATGAGATGGGCACAAAAAGAAATTAACAGAGCTTTCTGTATTATTGTTTGATTATTTTAAATCTACAGTTTAAGGTTGCAATAGAAATTATCAAAATTTTGACAAACTTATGAAAAAATTTTTTTTTGATAATTGCTGATGAGAGAAGGGTTTCGGAAAAAAAAATGTGATTAAATACATATTTGAAATAATACACATCTACAACCTATTTGAAATAATACATATCTACAACCTATTTGAAATAATACACATCTACCATTGCAAACTTTCCACAGGTGCTATCCAGCACTTTGATTAATTTGGACATTGGTTGTAGGTGATTTAGGCAAGGGTTTTTACTTTTGGACATTGGTTGTAGGTGATTTAGACAAGGGTTTTTACTTTTGGACACTGGTTGTGGTGATTTAGGCAAAGGTTTTTACTCTTGGACATTGGTTGTAGGTGTTTTAGGCAAGGGTTTTTACTTTTGGACATTGGTTGTAGGTGATTTAGGCAAGGGTTTTTACTTTTGGACATTGGTTGTAGGTGATTTAGGCAAGGGTTTTTACTTTTGGACATTGGTTGTAGGTGATTTAGGCAAGGGTTTTTAATTAATTGTTTACAGGTTGGCCTTATGAAATTGAATGAAATTGAAGTTTCTTTTATTCACGCAAACCCTAAAAAATACATTTATCCTGAAATATAGATAAAAAAATACTTGCATAGTAGCTTTTGTCCTCAAATGATTTGTTATTTCATACATATACAACAGAAATAATTTCAATAGAAAAATAAGGAGATGTGGTATGATTGCCAATGAGACAACTATCCACCAAAGTTCAAATAAAGTGAATGTAAGCAATTATAGGCAACCATATGGCCTTCAACAATGAGAAAAATCCATACTGTATAGTCCCATATAAAAGGCCCGACATGAAAAAATTACTTGGGACAGGCAAATAAAGAATGTGGCTGGGTTAAACATGTTTGTAAGAGCTCAACTCACACCCTAACCTGGAATAATGGTGTAACAGCACAACAAAAGAACAATTTATAAAAATCAGTTGAAAAAGGCCTTACTCATAAGATCCATACAAAGAAAAACATTAAACAAAAACACAGACAGGACGTGGCAGGGTACATATCCATCCCTCATCCGTGACAACAAAAAAGACTAAGTACAGATCTGAGAGTACTCACAGTTACTTCCAGCTAGTTCAAAGCCAATAACATTTAATAAAAAAGATCATGTATCTAAGACTAAAAACTCACCAGCTGATTTGAAATGTTGTATTCAATAAGCAAATAATTTTATGGAATGAAATCTATGTAAACAGTACTTCATGCTTTTTTTGTCAAAATTCCATAATATTTTATTTCTTAAACATTTTGAATCATCTGTTTCAAACATGCAATGTATGTCATCATCATAGATGACATAGACCCATCCAAATGTAAAAGACAGTTAAATAAAATTAAAGATGACCACACAATAGAAGATTTCCTGAATCATAGGTCGTTAGAAGAATGATCATCCATTTTAATATGAGACAAGGCAAACAAATGTGTAATCCAACAAATTAAACAACTCTGGCCTTATGGTTGTAGGTTCATTTTATGTTCACTCCATATCAATTTTATGTTCACCCCATATCCATTTTATGTTCACCCCATATCCATTTTAACAGAATAGCCCTTAAAAGTTAGAGAGCATTTTCTTTTTTTTTTTAAATTTATATTTAATTTTTCAGGTTCACCACTGCAAGAGTATGAAAGACTGATGAAGCCATTATTTCCTACAGAGAATAGTGAATTTCATGTAAAGCTTGCAGAAAAGGTATTCTTACTACAGAGATAATGTGCATATTGGTTCTCATGCTACCGGTATCTAGAAAATATTAAAAAGCCTTACATTTTATTTCAGTTGTTCAAGGTCTGGAAATTCCCTTAAAATTCATCTAAATGGTAAAAATCCTGCGAAAAAACCTGGAATTTTCAATCAACTAAAGGGTGTTATATATTCAAGTATATATATGCATAATTTCCCTTTAACAATTATATATCCAATTCAAAATTACTGGTATAGTCTTTGAAATGATTGTTAGAGGCAGAATTCGTTTTCTGATACTAATTACTTATCACTAGAGGTCATTGTCTAACAGTCAGACCACTTCAAACCTAATATTCAGATGCCTTATCTTGCAAAGATTCTGTCTGTCATATGTCCATTCTTCTTGACCTTATTTTCAGCAAATTCTAAAAAAACTACAAGTTTTGGGTTGCATGTGTTTCTCAGTTGTTATGAGTAAAATGATAAAGATATTTGTATATGGGATCCTTGCAAGGTCTTCATGTTTGTCAGACAGGTTTCATCTGATCTTGACCTCATTTCATGAAACATGATCAAGGTTCATGTTTTGTGGTCAAGTCTGTATCTCAGATTCTTTATTACACTGCACTTGCTTCATACTAACAACCTTTCACTAGCTATGACCTCAACAGTTTTACCTGTTGATCAGTTTGTAGAGATGAATTCATACTGCTATTTGGTAAAATATTTAAGCAAAGCCATTAGGATAAGCACAGTAAAATGTTTTTTTCACGAGGTACATAGAAAATGTATTAAATAGATTTGCTTTACCTATTACCATTTTAATTGAAAGGTACTAACTTCATATCATTCACAGGTTTAAGGAGATGAACTAACTTGAAAATAGATATGAAGAAAGTAAAAAAAAATCTGCTGATTTCTTATTGAATTCTCTGTCTGTATTTGTCATTCTGACAGAATTATGGTTTCAAAGGTTAAAGGAGTGGAAATAGGCAACAACCAAAATTGTGATTTATTATTATTTACATTATTTTGGTTTAATTTTCCCAATAGGTTAAATTTTGCAAAAACAAATGTTGCTTTGGCTATGTTTTATTTACTGTAAGCATATTTAGCATATTAATATTTTCTTTGATTGAAAACTGTTTGTATTAAATTAGGATATTGTATGTAGCATCTATAGATGTAGAGATATAAAACATCCTAAAGGCATGTACTAAATATTTTGTGCATCTAGCATTGTAGTATTTTATATAAATATGTAAACATATATATACAAGTAGTAAAAGAATTTTTTTTATTTGTAGTTTATGTTACATCTTGATATTGTCCAGGACAAGGACTTTATAAAAACTGCCCTGTATTTCTTCATGGACCAAGTAGAAAGATTTGAATACCCAGTGATAAACACTGACAATAGATTACTTCTTACCAGATTGATTGTCAGATTTATAAGTGAAGAATGGGTTCCACCTACTGATGAAAATAGTGTTGCCAAAATACATAAAGCCTTATGTGTATTACTGATGTCATCACCTGGAGCAACAGCATCTGTGATGTTTTACTTGTTAGAAATATGGTTCAAAGTTTGTAGGTTCTTCAACTTTCAAAAGATGACAGAGTTATTGAAAACTGCAAAACAAGCTGGAGATCTTGTTTGGCAAAAATCTGGAATTAGAGAACTAGTCCTTACATGTTTAGGCAAAGATTGTATACAGGAAGAGTATTATAGTGCCAAACTGGTGAAGCTGTTCTTTCCATTTCAAAGAGTACTGTCTGATGTCTTGGATATTGTTTCAAGTAACAAGAAAAATTATTCTCAAGTGTCTTTGATGAAAATGAGCAAGCATGCTCAGCAGGTGGAGGAAGATGATATTTTCTCTTGTGAAATTAGTGTGAGTTTTTTAATGATGGCTTTGGAAGCTTGTGAAGAAAAATGCAGATATAAAGTCGAGTACAAACCAAGTGTTGCAGAACAAAGATACTTCACACATTTCTTTAGACTTATTACAGCCTCTCTCACAGATGATGTGATTGCAACACCCAAATTTTCAAACCTGTTGAAAATTTTGAAAAAGGTGTTCATCTTAAGTTATGATCTAATGATGGAATTTCTGTCTGTTCTAAAACAATCTGAAGTTGGACAAAGAAATATGAAAACATGGTTTGGCGACACCCTTATTGAACATTACAAGAAAAAGTTTTATGATGAAGTACGTAACATGCCGACTTCCAGCTCTAAGTATGAAAGATTTATAGGAAGATTAAAAGATGCTCTACAGGAATGTGAAAGATATGCTGACAGTGTAGATGATGCAAAATCTAGGTTCAAGCTACGCATCATCAATGATCTGACCTTTGAATTCAGCAGAAAGACCAGATTTTGTAGAAGGTTGAATGAGGAATTCTAAAATATCTGATTGGACAAATCTATTATGGATTAATTTTGAATTCATAAAGACCTTATTAACATGCTTGATTGCGTAAACATTTGTTGAAATGTTAAGGTGGATCATCGGTATATATTTCCTCAGATAGAATTTTTTTATACTTTGCCAAAATGAAGATTTTTCAATGCTCTTTTCAAAAATATAATAAAAAATATGGGTCATGGTGATATGCTAAGTTTGCTTTTTTATTGTTGAAGCATTTTTCTTACATTCTTATTTTTATAACATAGTAACAACCAAATTGTAGACCTTTTTTGGTTTTCAACACATTAATACATTTATTTGATTCCTAAAGTCCTTGTAAAACTAAAGACTTTTAAATGTTTACAAAAGCATGAGCAAGCACATTCAATTATCAGAGTATCACACAGTCCTTAAAGTAACTTTATGATGAAGCACTCAAAAAATTGAAATAATACAGTTTGTCTAAAACTTTCAGACTTAATTTTGATGTATTTTACATATATGATAGAATTGTCTGCATAATCATGGTTTTGGCCCCATGTGGGATGGTATTGAAATGTGACCAATGATATATCAGTTTTGCCCCACCATTGATGTCCTCTAGGAATGGTTCATTATTACGTGGTTAATGAAAGGAGTGGAGCCAAAAACCCAAATAAATGGCCCTGTAGATATGTATTTTTTAAAACTTGAATTGGGTGAGTAAATCTATTGTGTATGTTTTTCTAAATACATCATTTTTGTCAAATAAGAGAAATTGTATATTTGCTGTATATTTATAAATTGATTAGCCTGAAATAGGAATAGATTTAATTTTCGTCTATTTTTCCAGAAATCTATCCCCTATTCAACCTTCTTGATATGTGGCACTACGCCTCGCCTATTGAAATTTTGGTTGAAATGTAAAGAACATGGTACATGAAGAATATTTCAGCAAAAATATTTGTGCGCGAGGGATGGCACCACTGTTAAATTTTCAGAAAACTGTTGAAAATTTTGCAACAAATCAGGTTTTAACAAAATTTCATCTACATTTATTATGTCTCAAATACATCACTAATGAAAGTTGGTAAAAATCTTTTTAATATGAAAAAATAAGACACTTTATCATATGTTTTCATAAAATTCTACCAACATTGTCGCAGTTAAATTTTTTCAGATTTCAGGGCCATATGATTATGTATTGAAATAAAGCAATTGCATTTATTTCTTTGAAAGGATCGAATATTAAAAATGTTTTATATAGAACCCCAGTTTCATCCCACTGTCTATATTGAATAAAATGATTTCCAATAGGGGTGGTAAGAAACCGGGATAAGATATAGATATTAACGTGTCTGATAAATAATCCTGGTTTCGCCCCACCTCAATGGAAAGTCTTTATATTTAACATAGAGGGTGGGACGAAACTGGGATATAATATAGATAAGATTCTTATATACAATCCTGGTTTTGCCCCACCTCTAAGGAAATCCATTATATTTGAAAAAGAGGGTGGGACAATCAGGATTATATATATACTACACTAAAATAAAAGTTGAATTGTGTATATAAGTGTGTTAACTTTATCGTATAGTGAAAGTGGAAACTTTGTTTTAAAATTCATCTTCTCAACAATTTAAAATAATGCCCAGTTTCATCCCACCCTCTATGTTATATATAACGAATTTCCATAGGGATGTGACAAAAGCAAGACTATATGTGAGACACTTATCTATTTATAATCTTGGATGAGGTAATAGCTAGTAAGTCATAGGGATGGGACTTGTAAAATTTCATGAAAACTTTGTTTTCAGCTATACATGGGATATTTGGCTATTAAATTCAGAATTTTTAAAGCTTTCATAAATGATTGATAAATGTTAATTTTTTGTGATACTTTTGACATAAAATTGAATTGTTTTTAGTACATGTAGTAAAGGAGTTGAGACATTTCAACATGTGCATTCTTTTTGAAATGTGAATTTGCAGTCTAAGACAATGCCACAGAAATTGTGTGGTTTGATACTGAGCTATATCTTAGAGCTATTTGATGCATGTAAAGATATTGTGCCTTTTTTTTTTTTGGGGGGGGGGGGGGTGGGGGCAGGTGTAAAGATTGCATTCATGCAATCAAAACCTTTGTGTGGCTGACTGTTTAAGGTTCCACTCAAGTCAAAATATAGGACACTTCATAAACATCTAAACTTTGCCTGTATTTTTCAACCTATAATGAGTAAAGTCCTAAACTATGAGAACATATGTTCATTTAAACATACTCAACATATACACACTGTGTAAATTGTAAATAAACTTGAAATTGTTATGCTGTGGCCAAACCGGTTCTTGAGGTGAACACTAAATTTTCAAGAAAATCTGTAGGCCTGCGAAACGACTTAATTTGCTTAAAATTGGTATAGACAAATACTGTTACATGTAATGTAGTGGAACCTTAACAGTTGTCAATTTTCCAAACTTTATCACTACTTTTGAGATAAACAAAACATAGCACATTGATCACAACATTCTATTCATCCTATCCATGAACATTTCAAGAAATCTATCAATGAAGTATATACACTCAGATTGTCATGTTACAAAATGATGTATATTTGTAAAATCATACTTGTCAAGAAAATAAAAGAAGTTGTGCATGGTGCATGAATATAGTATCTGTTCTTAAATTATCAATACGTCAACACTGAGGTTGAGAGTTCGTACCCTGCATGTGGCAGGTGCATTCGACTCCAATCTTTATTGACTAGGATTGTCAGTTTTCCTGCCCAAAAGGTCATGGTTTTTTTTCCTGACACTCAGGCTTCCTTCACCAATAAATAATGACTGCCACGAAATAGCCAATAGTGCTGAAAGTGGCATTCATTGCCAATCAATCAATCAATCAATAAAATATTAATGATTTCATTTTGAAAGTAGTATTTAGAATTGGAGTTATCTACCATTGTCCATAATTGTAGTTGAACCAATTCAATTTATTGCATTCCAATGCTTAATACAATGCAATTTATAAAATTTAGTTCCCACTGCAAAATGAATGCTATCTTTACCCTTCACTGCTCACAATCACTTTAATGTAGTTTTTTAGCCATTCAATCCACTTTTGGGGACATGATATATTTGTGAGCCTTTTTATTAGTCTAGTTTAGTTTTATACATATGCTTAGCTTTAATTTGTTGTGATCTTTTACATGTATTTGCAGTTAGATTTTAGTTATCATTTAGTTTAGATTTTACTGTTAGTTTTATATAGATCTTTTGATTTTATGATGAATATTTTGTTACTTTTAGTTTTGCAATCTGATCAGATTTGAGATGTTATTTCTGTTAGTTTATGCCGTATATCAAGTCATTTTCACATCAGCTTTTGTTCAAGGTTTAGGCATAGTTAAATCTTTTTTTGTGTGTGTGGTTAGTATTGATGGCCTTACCTAATGCATTTAAATGAACAGTTAGATATCAGCCTAAGGTGACTTACGTTATAAAATGTCTACTGAAAAAATTAGACAAGCAAGAAAATTTCTTGATAAACAGTATTTCTAACTGGTTATGTCATGGAGATAATTTTTAGTTTATAGATATTACATTTATCTTGTTAGTAAGTGTTTCATTATGGTAGTGTAGACACTTTTTAGTTTGAATGAAATCTAATTTTGTAGTAAATTTAAGATAGCCTTTAAGTTAATTTTACCTTTACCATCAAATGTGCAGACATCATGCATACCCCTGAACATTTCTTGGGAACTATAAGAAGTTGTCGAAATTTTAATCAAAACACTCTGTCATTTAAAATATGTCGCATTTAAGGGAAGTCATAAAGAAATAATTTCAAGTGTTTTATTAATTGTTTTCTAGAACATTTTGTGATTTCATTAAGATTTTTTAGATTTGATATTTTTGGCATTAAACAGTCAAGTAAGTCTTTTTTGAAACTGATAATGTGAATTAGTGAAAAATACAATAACATGCTAGCAGTATTGTGATCCTTCAGAAGTTGTTGTAAAAGAAAAACAAAGGATATGGGGTATCCATCCATGACACAAAATCAGTACATGCACAGCAAAAAATACACTAAAAGCAAAGGAACAGAGCTTTAATTGCTGTTCCTCACTTCAAAATCACTGTTCATTAAAAGATATTGTTAATTTGACAACTATTGAAGAGTTTTACAAGGTTATTTGTGTTGTCATTTTCAGAATATTATGGGGAAGGTTTGAACTTGTTTCTATTCTTTCCTGTTTTATAAAGACAAGGCACCTACCAAATGAAGATTAAGAAGTGCTTTCCACTAAATCTACATAGACTGAAATGAAACACTCAATACTTCCATTGTCTATGTAAATATGTACACCAATAAACTGTGCAATCTTTTGATTATCTTCAGAGCTGTTGAGTGTGTCATCTGTTTGTCAAATTTGCCTGTTAGTTAGGTATTGTTGTAAAGTAATTAAACTGATACAATATCATTAAGATTATCATCAACAAACAGTTAGAAAAAAGGTGTAGTTTTTAATTTGAAACTCCTCCTCTTATATTCAAATTTAAGTTTTGGTCTGTTTTTCTTAAACTAAAAGCAATTGGTCAACTATATTTGGTGTATGGAATGATTGCAAGGTGTATATTCCTGTCTGGCAGTTATCATCTGACCATGATCTCATTTTCATGGTTCATAGGTCAATGTTAAGTTTTCATGGTTAAGTTTATTTCTTAGATACTATAAGCAATAGGTCAACTATATTTGGTGTAAGGAATGATTGTAAGGTTTATATGTCTCTCTGGCAGGTATCATCTGACCTTGACCTCATTTTCATGGTTCATTGATCAATGTTAAGTTTTCATGGTTAAGTTTATTTCTTAGATACTATAAACAGTAGGTCAATTATATTTTATGCATAGATTGATTGTAAGGTGTACATGTCTGTCTGGCATGGTTCATCTGACCTTGACCTCATTTTCATGGTTCATTGGTCAATGTTAAGTTTTCCTGATTAAGTTTGTTTCTTAGAAACTACGAGCATTAGGTCAACTATATTTGGTGTATGGAATGATTGTAAGGTGTACATGTATGTCCGGTTTAGTTTATCTGACCTTGATCTCATTTTCTATGATCATGTTAAGTTTATGTGATACTTGTAGAAAAACTTTATATTTAGGACTATCAACATAAAATTAATGGTCAGTAAAGCAGG